AAAGGAGATTTCTGACGGTTTGAAGGATTTATAGCAAAGTTGGAAATGAAGGTGGTTATTTTTCTTTGATTGTAAAGTGTTTTGTTCGCCTGCACTCTGATAGAGAGACACTGGGAGTACATGGACATAGTGGTCGATCTAGAGGAGATTTCCCTGGGGTTAGTCACGGGGAGATGTGCAGCAGCGTCTGGGAAATAGAGAGTTTATAGCAGAGGAGAAACTGGAGCTTATTCTTATACATTGATTTCTACAGAATTCAGGATCTTGGCGTTAAAGCAGCATTTTGGATGGGAACCAACGAAGAAGAAGATCGAGTGGATTATTTCTCCAGTTTCATTTCCCAGTGAAGTGACCTCAGGAGGAAGTGGGTTTTATTCTGAAGGTCTTCTGGTCGTGGAAATGAACAAAAAAAGGAGAAAAATGACCAAAATCATAAATGAGAGAAATACAATATTTATGTTTTTTGAGGGGAATTTGAACAAGTTTGAAAATAGAGAATTAAAATGGTTAGGGTTTATTTTTATATATTGATTTTTAAAGAATTGAGTGACTGGATCTTGGCAGAGACGTTTTAAAACATGTGAGATGAAGGTTTTTGGTCCTTTTGGGGAAGTTGTGTCTCTGATTGGTCAGTTTGTCTCTCAGTGTCATTTTATTAACTCGTTTATTGTGGAGGCATTTTGTCTTTGAGGTTGTTTTCTATCGCTTTGAATACTTTTTGTCACTATTTGAGTCAGTTTGCGTCTCTTTGTGGTTGTTTTAAATCATGGTTTTCGTATATTCTTCGTATTTCAGAGTCTTTAAGGGTCATTCTGTCTCCTTCTGGTTGTTTTTCATCTATTTTGTATCTGTTTTTGGAAGAAATGTGTAGAAATGTGTGGTTATTTAGTGTCTGTCAGTGAGTTCAGTAATCTCTCTCCATGCCCAGGCCTAATGCAGACACTGTTGGATTGATTTTCATGCACATTCCTCATTCTAGTTTGATTCAAAACCCCTGCAGTTACACAGATCTCAGGTCAGTCAATCAACTCAAACTTGCTGAACAACAGCGTCTTTCAAACGCACCGTTATACACACTCATTTATTCACCTCAACATGCACAGAGGTACGGAAGCCCTGAGAGGCCAACAGGAGGAAAAGTAAACCAAGTGTTGGGAAAACACTGAATGTAATGAATCTCAGAGTAACATGCTAACAAAGGTACCCCAACTGTAGCTGTGAACATGACAGGATGTCTGATTACCTAGAAGAGCATCAGGACTGTTTGAGGCATATGATAGCTATGTGATTAACATGATGATTCAGCCTCTATGGAGATAGACATATGACAAGCATGCTCATTTCTGACGTGGAGCTAATCTGAAGTAAACATTGAATACTGCTTTCTATTCCTCCATCTTGTGACTGTGTAACTCCCTCTCTTGGATATCAGCATGTGAAGGACACTGTTCAGGAACTACTTGATGCTCTGTATGTGATGACTACTTCCATTCTGGAGAGGATCAGAAACACATGGATCCTGAGATTGAAGCTCAAGCCGGGGACCAGTGATTATTAACATTTTTAAGTATTCAGAAAAATACATAATTTTGAGAAATAAATGAGAATTTTGAGATTATGAGAAAAAATACATAATTTTGAGATTTTTATAGAAAGTCAGAATTTTGATAGAAAGTCAGAATTTTAATAGAAAGTCAGAATTTTGAGATTTTGAGAAAAAATACATACTTTAGAGATTATGAGAAAAAATCAGGATTTAGAATTTTTAGAAAAAGTCAGAATTTTTAGAAAAAATCAGAATTTAACACCAAGGTTAATTATTAGTTTCAATTCAGCCTGTTGGGGTCAAATTGAGGTACAAACACATAGATAATAATAATACTAATAATAATAACACATGACACTTACATAGTGCTTTTCTAGACACTCAAAAGTATTTACCTCCAGCTTCTCGATGCGGTCCTTCAGGTCCATGATGGCCCTTGCCAGTTCCTCCACAGCTCGGGCCGTCTGCAGCTGAGCGGCGGCTGAAGAGCTCACATCGTCTCCAGCCATCACTCTCCTGTTCCCGCTCCACACCCCGATGCTCCGCTCAGGAACATTCCTCTCGTCCTCCAGGCCGCTCTCACACTCGTTCAGCTTCCCCGTCAGCTCGCGGATCGTCCTCTGGTCCATCAAGATCTGATCGTTCTGCTGAACAACCATCTGACGGAGATCCTCTGCTGTGGTGCGAAGGAAACTCCAGTCTTCCTCAGGCTGAGGGAGCAACAGATTATATATGTTAGAAGTTAAAAAGCTAACACATAGAAAAGAACTAGCAAAGGCAGCTAATGTTGGGCTATAAAGGAACTACAGCACGGTCACATGACTTCACGTCTTCACCGCTAAGCTAAAGGTGGCTAATGTTGGGCTATAAAGGAACAACAGCCCGGTCACATGACTTCACGTCTTCACCGCTAAGCTAAAGGTGGCTAATGTTGGGCTATAAAGGAACAACAGCCCGGTCACATGACTTCACGTCTTCACCGCTAAGCTAAAGGAGGCTAATGTTGGGCTATAAAGGAACTACAGCACGGTCACATGACTTCACGTCTTCACCGCTAAGCTAAAGGAGGCTAATGTTGGGCTATAAAGGAACTACAGCACGGTCACATGACTTCACGTCTTCACCGCTAAGCTAAAGGTGGCTAATGTTGGGCTATAAAGGAACAACAGCCCGGTCACATGACTTCACGTCTTCACCGCTAAGCTAAAGGTGGCTAATGTTGGGCTATAAAGGAACTACAGCACGGTCACATGACTTCACGTCACCACCGCTAAGCTAAAGGAGGCTAATGTTGGGCTATAAAGGAACTACAGCACGGTCACATGACTTCACTTACCTCCATCTCGAAAGTCATGGAAAAAATAGTATATGAACAGGTCGAAAAGTACCTCGCGGAAAAGAAACTAATCTATGAATTTCAATCTGGCTTTAGAACATCCCACTCCACTGACACATGCCTTCTTTATTTGAACGACCACATCAAACAAGAGGTGGACGAGGGTAAATACTGCGGCATGGTGATGCTGGACCTACAAAAGGCTTTCGACACTGTCAATCACCCCATTCTGATTGACAAGCTAAAAGCAATTGGTTTTGATAAACTATCGGTGAGCTGGATGCAATCCTACCTGGAGGGGAGAGAACAGATGGTGGAGGTAAACGGTACTCTGTCCCCCCCCCCTCCCAGTGAGCTGTGGTGTTCCACAAGGAAGCATATTAGGTCCGTTACTGTTCCTAATTTATGCAAATGACATGTCATCAGCATGTGACTGCAACTTGTTCCTGTTCGCGGATGACTCAGCCCTGCTGGTCTCTGACAGGAGCAGATTGCAGGTTGAAAAAACCCTCACCTCCGAGCTCGGCAGAATCTGCACCTGGCTCGCCGATAATAAATTATCATTACACCTGGGTAAAACAGAGTCCATTCTCTTCGGTTCGAAACATAATCTCAGCAAATCCGACGACTTCTCAGTTGCAGTGGGTGACATTATTGTCACAAGTAAGAAGGAAATTACATACCTAGGATCTATTCTTGAGGCAAACCTCTCCTGTGACAAAATGGCATCCAATGTAATAAAAAAAGTCAATCAAAGAACTAGATTCCTATACCGGATCTCCTCTCTGGTAAACAAAAGCACCCTGAAAACTCTGGCAGGAGCACTCATTCAAGGGTACTATGACTAGGCTTGCATGTCATGGTACCATAGCACCTCCAAGGCGCTAAAAATAAAACTTCAAACATCGCAAAATAAACTGGTCAGACTACTGCTTGACCTTTCATCTAGAACCCACCTCACCTCTGCCCACTTTGACAACCTAGGATGGCTTAGAGTAGACGACAGAGTACAGCTACTTGCAATGGGCCTGGTCTACAAGATCCACTACACCTCTATGGTACCCATGTACATGTCAAAATTCTTCCCAAAGGTCAAGGAATACCATGATCATAACACCAGAGGGAGCTCCACAAATCATGTAAAACCCAGATTTGGCACAAAAAAGGGGGAATACACGTTTCGCAATTATGCCACATCAAGGTGGAACGCTCTTCCCACAGCTGTAAAGGAAAGTAAAACTATACTTACCTTCAAAACCTCTCTTAAAGAGCACCTTCGGGGGAGAGCATTGCAAAACTGGCCCCGGTAATGGTACAAATCTCAACCTGTCGTACAATGGACAGCTTCCCCCCCCATCTATGTATATACTCGCATTTTAGACTCTGTTACTAACTGTATATCTGTAGACTTGGTATGTCTTAAATGTCCGGTTAGGATGTATTAGAACGAAATCTAAAATGTAAATTGTAAATAAGCCATCTGTATGTAAAAAACCACCTGTATGTAAATTGTAAATAAGCCATCTGTATGTCAAATATGTCTTATATGTCTTAAATGATATGATGAATTGGAAATGGGGGACCCTGATGTAAACAAGACGAAAGTCTTTCTCTGGTCTGCATCCCCTTAACAATTGTATGTTTTGAGCTGTACTGTACTGTACCCAATATACAAGCTGTTAATAAACTTTTCAATCAATCAATCAATCAACCGCTAAGCTAAAGGCGGCTAATGTTGGGCTATAAAGGAACTACAGCACGGTCACATGACTTCACGTCACCACCGCTAAGCTAAAGGAGGCTAATGTTGGGCTATAAAGGAACTACAGCACGGTCACATGACTTCAGGTCACCACCGCTAAGCTAAAGGTGGCTAATGTTGGGCTATAAAGGAACTACAGCACGGTCACATGACTTCAGGTCACCACCGCTAAGCTAAAGGTGGCTAATGTTGGGCTATAAAGGAACTACAGCACGGTCACATGACTTCACGTCACCACCGCTAAGCTAAAGGTGGCTAATGTTGGGCTATAAAGGAACTACAGCACGGTCACATGACTTCAGGTCACCACCGCTAAGCTAAAGGAGGCTAATGTTGGGCTATGCTTTGTTTTATGTTGCTGTAACGAAGATAATCCACAATTTGTGATCAATAAAGATTATATTTTATTATGTTAACGGATTACCTGTAACAAGATTACGTAATCAAGAAACTGAAAAAAGGTAACTATTCAATTACAATTACAAAAAATATGTAATCAGTTTACATTTAAACATACGCATATACATCATTTTACTTTAAGAAACGTAACTAAATGTTTAGGTTACTCATTATTTCGTTTTTCAAACATTAAACACTGATATTATTTTGGTGAGGCACTTTAAATTGTGATAGAATTTATAATAATAATAATAATAATAATATTAATAATACTTTATTTGTTGTGCCAGAGTTACAAAAATACAATGAACACAGCAGCATGATAATCAAACTGTACACTAACAGTGCAGTAAAAAGAGCAATTAAATAACTACAGGAAACATAGACGGTCACATCATTAATGTAAATATTAATAGTATTTAGTAGTGCACGTTATTATAGAACATTATTAATAATCAGAATCAGGTTTATCACCAGGTAGGTTGACACGTAGGCTACGAGGAATTTGACTTGATGTCGTGGTGCGTACATAAAAGTAAAATTAAAAACACAGAAAGAGAACTAGAAAAATATTAAAAATAATAAAAAATATAGTAAAATATAACGGATAATGGAATGGAATAAAATATGGAATAAAAATCAGCAGTAATAAAAAAAGAAAGCAGATATTGTTATACATTGTGTGCATCAATTCCAATTACTTGTAGACTATTCTGCACAATTTGTATTATATTCTGTTTTATTTGTATTTACTTGCATTATTATCTGTATTGTGTTGGAGGAGCCTGTGACCTCAGATTTTCATTGTCATAACTACACTGTAAATGACAATAAAAGCCTTGCATTGAATAATAATATTGCACATGTTGTATAGCAGAGAGTGTTTTGTAATGATGGTAATGGAAAGATGCATATAAATACTTTTTAACTACATGTTTAGGTTACTATATTGTTCTTCCATAACCAGTCATTGTAACGGATTGTAACCCCACCTGGTCCGCCTGCTGCTGCCTCTTCAGGTCCTTTATGTTTCCCCGGCACTCCCCCACCGGCACCGGGGTGCAGATCAACCGGCTGAAGCTGAACTGTTTGGCGGACCCTCCTCCGGTGCCCTCCCCGAGGTGAACGTGGTTCAGACCGGGAAGCTCCAGGCCTCCGAGCCCGTTCTCCCCGCGGTAAGAGTCGGATCCGGTGAGCTCCAGAGGCTCCAGAGGCTCCATGAGCGCCTCCGGGCCCAGCGTGCTGTTGTCCCCGGGGAAAGAGGCGTGTTTCCGGGGGTAAACACTCGCGATGATGCAGATCACCGCGCCGAGGAAGGCCAGAGAACCGGCGCCCACCAGAACCAGCACGAACTTCATTCTCTGTGTTAATGGAGAGGATAACTGGATCAAATGAGACCTGGCTCTATAAAAATGCTATGTATTATTATTATTATTATTATTAAAGGAACCTGGTTAGCGGATTCCTCAGAGGATCAACGTGTCTCTGTTTCTGCAGATGGATCCGTTTCTGTTTCCTGCAGATCTCTTCTCTGCTCCTTCCTCCTCGGGTTGCTAAGCTGCTCTCCTCCGCGCGTAACTATGGGCACGAGAGAGGATGAGCGACGGTCTGAGCATGCGCAGAAGCAGAGGTGAACAAACAAGCGATGGATCGATGTGCGCGCGCGTGTGTGTATGTGTGTGTTTGTGTGTGTGCCAAGATCATTCCTTAAGTGTATTACACGTGTCAATTCAGCCTGTTGGGGACAACATGAGGAACAACAACAACAACCAACACTTAACAATAACCTTGAGTGTCAACACTTCTCCCGTTTTCACAGATGATGATGAAACAAGTCCTACACCTGTTCTTAATTCATAAACACAGGAGAGTGCTGTTTACACATGGTTCACACAAACAACAACAACAACAACACATGGGCTTTAACATCGAATGTTCTGTTTCGTGTTTTATGTCCTTGTATTTCATCGCTGTCTTTATTTCTGTCTTTGAAAATATACAATAAAATCTCAATGATGAAGAATAATCTGCCTCTCTCTTCACTGCAACACATCTGCAAAGACACACGATAATGATCTAACGTGGTCTGGCGTACCATATGTGCATTATTCAGAGTGCTCTAACACATCTGCTGAGTGAGATCTAAAGTGGAAGTAAGAAGCAGACTGCAGGACAGAAGAGAGACCTCTGCTCTGCGTGGGAGGAACAGCATGCTCCTCAGAGGGAACTGAACACACCACGCAAACAGAAACCACCCGACACACAAGTCCTCCCAAGAAACACTTCAGGAAGTTCATCAACACGTTTCTCCATATTTAATAAAGACAGAGGGCAGCCAATCAGGGAAGAGAAGCTGCTGATTATCTAAGAAAAACATCAAATATCAATCTGTGATTTCTAATTGCTATTCTCTTTTAAAGCTGCCAGCACTTCTCTCTTAGTTCTTTATTTCATGCACAACAATTACTGAGAAGCCTAATAGGATATTGAAATCCCCAAACCCTCCGACAATTATCCCTTCATTGTAATTTTTTTAAGAAAATGAAATGGAGTTCACACAACAAAATTAGAATCTAAAAATAAAACCAGCAAAATAAAAGCAATGGTAAGTATCACAGCCTATTCAATAAAGTCATATATGTTGGGGAATAATTTACTTAGGTATTCAACCTGTGACCCAGTTCATCATGTTGTCCTCTCACTGTCTCCTTTCCCACGGCACAGGTCTACGGCCTCGGGTTCTGCTGCTATCTCTCTTAAGGGGGAGGAGCTTGGGCGCATTGTTGTTGCCAGTCTATGACCGACTACAAGCTGACATGAGATAGTGTATTGTTCAGGGACATCTAGAAGCCCTTCATTTTAGGGACGTAGGTTCCCTGGCTCACTCTCTATGGACGAGAGCTCTAGTTAGATTCAGGGTCCATATTTGTTTAGTCTCGCTGATGAAGAATGTTGATTATTACACTCTGAACTAGTTCAAACCTGGAGCTGCAGGAGAGCTCTTCAGAATTGATTGTGGCATCTCAACCGTGTGGTCAGACCGTGGCCCGTGACATGTCTTGTGAATTCTCCGGGCCGAAGCTCCAAATAAACGGTCAGTGTTTGCCATCAGAGCTCCAGCTCTCCTCGTGTCTCTCTGAGTCCTGACTCCTATTGCTTCAGAAGTTTCCCCCACACTATACATACAGTATCATAGTAAGAACACATTAAAACACACTTTTCAGATGTGTAGCCTTCACTTGGTGAAAGTCTAGACATGCTAGAAGCTACAAATATTCTATACAAATATATATATTTCATTCCTGAAAACACAACTGATCTTTTAATGATTTTAGTGTGACATTGAGACCCCCTTTACACGAGAACGAAACGGGTTGTATCCGCATAGTTTCTCTTGCGTATAGCCCTTTTATTCACACGAGGCCGTAACAAAACGATAGAAACGGACCCCACAAACGATAACGGGTCCCAAGGTGGATAGATCTGCAAACGGGACGCTCTGGGGGGTCAAACGGCTCAGTGTAATCGCCTCTATACGATCATTTCCCGATAGATGAAGCCATAGCCCGCCTCTCCCCACCTCTGCTGCTCACTGCTGTAGCATGGTCAGTAGCTACTGTCAGTAGCTACTGCTAGTGCTACTGCTAGTGCTACTGCTAGTGCTACTTAGTACAACATCTACAGCTCCTCTACCACAACCATCAGCAACAAGTGGACATGGAGAATTACATGAACTACTACATGTTGCAAAATCCACCGCGGGGCATAAACAGAAGGGTAGCCACGGCAACCATGCTCCGGGGTCTTCTTCGCTGCTTTTGGTGTATTTTGTGGCGGAAGTTACAGCGCCACTTACAGACCCGGCATATGTACTACAGCGTGAACAGACACGTTAAATGAAACGAATGCGTGTGAATGGAAGACTTTTTTGAAAACGCATACTGTGCATAAACGCAAACGTTCCCGTGTAAAAGCAGCCTTACTCTATTGTATCCCTGGAATACATTAGTTTAGAAAAGGTGAAATAAATGCTAATTTAATCTTCTTTTGGTGGATGAAGGAAACATGGTCTAATCTCACACGTTAACCAGTATAATAGTTTCATAATAATGAGATTTATGCCTCAATTCATACAAAATACAACATGATTAATTATTTAATTTATATTCTGTGTGTGCATGAATCTGCAGAATAACTCATGTTGTTGATTACAGTCAAAGTAAAATATTTGCCTCCAAAATGTTGTTGACTAGAAGTATTTCGTAGCTTAAAAAGACGAACTAGTACCTCAATAACGTACTTTAATGTAGTTTTAAGTGCAAATACATATAAAGATATATGTATTCAGAAATGTTGGCTTGAAATGAAGCTCAAACGTCAGTCAGAGGCTTCCCCGCAGAGAGCAGTTAGCAGATTGTGGCTTAATCTGCAGAGGTGACACACACACACACACACACACACACACACACACACACACACACACACACACACACACACACACACACACACACACACACACACACACACACACACACACACACACACACACAGTACCATCTGTCTCATGGCCCAGTGTTATCCTGACCTCTGCCTCCGTCTGCTCTGAACAGAATCAGAATGACTGTCTGTTGAAACAAACAGAAATCAGGTTGAACTCGACGTCTGATTTCATCTCAACATCAAAACCCTGATAATCCCTCTGAAGACACATCCTGTAGCGCCTCCCTGTGGATTCTCTGGGAACAGCAGGGATAACAGAGAGGAGACACACATCCTGTAGCGCCTCCCTGTGGATCCTCTGGGAACAGCAGGGATAACAGAGAGGAGACACACATCCTGTAGCGCCTCCCTGTGGATCCTCTGGGAACAGCAGGGATAACAGAGAGGAGACACATCCTGTAGCGCCTCCCTGTGGACCCTCTGGGAACAGCAGGGATAACAGAGAGGACACACATCCTGTAGCGCCTCCCTGTGGACCCTCTGGGAACAGCAGGGATAACAGAGAGGACACACATCCTGTAGCGCCTCCCTGTGGACCCTCTGGGAACAGCAGGGATAACAGAGAGGAGACACATCCTGTAGCGCCTCCCTGTGGACCCTCTGGGAACAGCAGGGATAACAGAGAGGAGACACACATCCTGTAGCGCCTCCCTGTGGACCCTCTGGGAACAGCAGGGATAACAGAGAGGAGACACACATCCTGTAGCGCCTCCCTGTGGATCCTCTGGGAACAGCAGGGATAACAGAGAGGAGACACACATCCTGTAGCGCCTCCCTGTGGACCCTCTGGGAACAGCAGGGATAACAGAGAGGAGACACACATCCTGTAGCGCCTCCCTGTGGATCCTCTGGGAACAGCAGGGATAACAGAGAGGAGACACATCCTGTAGCGCCTCCCTGTGGACCCTCTGGGAACAGCAGGGATAACAGAGAGGACACACATCCTGTAGCGCCTCCCTGTGGACCCTCTGGGAACAGCAGGGATAACAGAGAGGACACACATCCTGTAGCGCCTCCCTGTGGACCCTCTGGGAGCAGCAGGGATAACAGAGAGGAGACACACATCCTGTAGCGCCTCCCTGTGGACCCTCTGGGAACAGCAGGGATAACAGAGAGGAGACACATCCTGTAGCGCCTCCCTGTGGACCCTCTGGGAACAGCAGGGATAACAGAGAGGAGACACATCACCATGAAACCCTGCATTACTGACTTTAAAGTCAGTTCATTAAGTCCTTTGTTTTTAAATCTCCTTTAAAGACCGACTTGTTCTCCCGTGCTTCTGCAGACCTCCTGTAAGACGTATCAGTCTGTGTTTACTCACCTGTCCTTCAATCACCTTTACTCACCTGTCCTTTACTCACCTTTAATCACCTGTCCTTCACTCACCTTTACTCACCTGTCCTTTACTCACCTTTACTCACCTGTCCTTCACTCACCTTTACTCACCTGTCCTTCACTCACCTTTACTCACCTGTCCTTCACTCACCTGTCCTTTACTCACCTGTCCTTCACTCACCTGTCCTTCACTCACCTGTCCTTTACTCACCTGTCCTTCACTCATCTGTCCTTTACTCACCTGTCCTTCACTCACCTGTCCTTCACTCACCTGTCCTTCACTCACCTTTACTCACCTGTCCTTCACTCACCTGTCCTTTACTCACCTGTCCTTCACTCACCTGTCCTTCACCTGTCTTTTATTCACCTGTCCATACCTGTCCTTAATACAAAGACATGATAGAAGACATGTTGAGAGCGGGTTGACTTATAAGCATTACATTAAAGAAGGAATCACTTTCCCTGCCTTCCCCCTCGGATCTATCTATCCGTCTCTCTCTCTCTCTCTCTCTCTCTCTCTATCTATCTATCTATCCATCTATCTCTATCTATCTATCTATCCATCTATCCATCTATCTATGTACCTATCCATCTATCTATCTATCTATCTATCTATCTATCCATCTATCTATCCATCTATCTATCTATCTATCTATCTATCCATCTATCTATCTATCTATCTATCCATCCATCTATCTATCTATCTATCTATCCATCTATCTATCTATCTATCTCTATCTATCTATCTATCCATCTATCTATCCATCTATCTATCCATCTATCTATCTATCTATCCATCTATCTATCTATCTATCTATCTACCTATCCATCTCTCTATCTATCTATCCATCTCTATCTATCTATCTCTCTCTCTCTATTTACCTATCTAAAAGCCTTTTTAAACTTTGAAAACGACACTAAAATATTAAATATATTTTATTTAACAGGGAAAAAAACAACAGAAACTGATTTTTGAACAGCTTTTAATTGAAAGCCTGGTACAAGAAACACACAGAGAGCAACGACAGGAAACATGACAATAATCTGTACAGTAAGGGTCTGGTAACATGCGCCAGAGTCCGTTATCCTCCGTCTCAGCATCACGTCAGCATCAAACAGACAAACATCAGACACGTCCCGTTCGTCTCGTCAAACCCATATTGGACTAATCAAACAAAAATGGCATCAAATAAACAGCATCACATTAACATTATTCTGCATATTTAGAAAAAAAGCATTAAAAAAACAGCTTTTTAATTCATTTATCAACATTTAAAGGATCCTTCCTTTTGTCCAATCAGTGCCATTCAAGCACTTATAATGACATCACATATAAAACAATTGAAAAGGAAAAAATAAAAGCTTAGAAATAATAAAATCAAGAGCCCTGTTTGGTTGAAAGATAGGCCACTAAGTTGTGCTAGTTAGAGAAATAAAAAGCCTTGCTTTAAATGTTGGAAAGACGTTAAAAGCTCACATCTACCAGCGAGTCACTTTCACTGAAACACAGAGACGCAGAGAGGACACATCCTGAAGCAGATCATTTAAACAACAAACACTGGCAAATAAACGCCTCTGAGGTTTTAAAAAGCCCGTTAGCAACCCAAAAATTCAAGTTGGCGTCTAATGATGACCAAATTCAGACGTCCTAAATACTTTAAACCCGTTTAGAGGAAAATATTCTGTTTCTGGAAATCATAGAAAACTCAGTCTGTGAGTTTCGTTCATCAAACACATTTATGACTTTGCTTTGATCTGAGTGCTGCAGATCATTGAAGAAAGCAGGGACATCTGTCAAAAGTGGATATTAAGAACTGACACCGGTAAATAAACTCAAAAATCGAAGCTGATGACCAAACACGTAGACTCAGGGTGTTTCTAGAAAGATAGAGTACGAGTTCTGTGGCTCTGATCTTGTTTATAAACAAGATGTCTCCTGACGTATACAAGATGTCTCCTGACGTAAACAAGATGTCTCCTGACGTAAACAAGATGTCTCCTGACGTATACAAGATGTCTCCTGACGCATACAAGATGTCTCCTGACGTAAACAAGATGTCTCCTGACGCATACAAGATGTCTCCTGACGTAAACAAGATGTCTCCTGACGTAAACAAGATGTCTCCTGACGTATACAAGATGTCTCCTGACGCATACAAGATGTCTCCTGACGTAAACAAGATGTCTCCTGACGTAAACAAGATGTCTCCTGACGTATACAAGATGTCTCCTGACGTATACAAGATGTCTCCTGACGTATACAAGATGTCTCCTGACGTATACAAGATGTCTCCTGACGTATACAAGGGGTGTTTCTCAATGTCGAGGACGCTTCCTTGGTAGCACATGTCTTCCGACTCACTTACTTCAGAAGCGAGGCAAGAATCCTTCCTAGCCTCGGAAAACGAAGAATAGTGGAACAGGCTAACAGGCTAACAGGTGTGCGTCATATGAGAGGCCCCGCCTTAAATGGAGCGCAATTTCCACCAAAGATTTGGAAATTGGTCCGTGCGCAAAGCATTGTGGGGATTTTAAAACTGCGGAGTCTACACATGTGCAGCCTCAAAAATGTCCCGCAACGAAGTACGCCGGCCTCGGTAGAATTCCAAGGATCCTTGACATTGGAACAGTCCTTCGGCGGCACTCGATGACGTAGCATCCTTGAAATAGTGGCTCTGGAGCAGCCTTCCTCGACATTGAGAAACACCCAAGATGTCTCCTGACGTAAACAAGATGTCTCCTGACGTAAACAAGATGTCTCCTGGTGTAAACAAGATGTCTCCTGACGTAAACAAGATGTCTCCTGACGTAACATAAACAAGATGTCTCCTGACGTATACAAGATGTCTCCTGACGTAAACAAGATGTCTCCTGACGTAAACAAAAAAAGTGACGTCGGAGCTCTGTAAAAACAAAGCCGTCTCCTCCGTCTGACGCTCTGTATGATGCTCAGATTTCTGGAGGAATTATACCGTTTTTGAGGATCAGAAATATTGTTTTCTGGGACCACTTTAACATTGTACGAGGAAAATCTGCATTTTGGTTTGAGGGTGCAGACAGAACCCTGCTGTACGTTAACGTGATTATGTGAGTATCTTGTTGTTGTCTATAGAAAATGATCCTGTGTTGTTGCAGAAACAACATCTGTTATTTAGAGATAATGACAAACAACGTTTAATCTTGATAAAACGTATAAAATGGATCACAAGGTTTGTTCGCACTTATCTTAAAATAATACAAATATAAAACCCTATTAATTAATGTGATTATATATCAATCAATATCTAAATAAAGTTCCATTACTCCTAATTATATATCCTGGTTTCTTGGGAAAATGCACTAATTGTTTAATTAAGATAATTCACGTTTGATCTCGAGAATAAAATTGTCACAATCACAAATTATTTTTCGGCATTATCTCAAAATCACAAATGCTTTCCTTGGATCATTTCCCAAGATAATGAATGTAAAAAAAATGTAACAAATACAATCGATGAGGGCGTGAGGGCGTAGTATTTCTGCTGTTTCACGGTTTAAATCCTAGAGATGTGTTTGTATTAAAGGGGTTTTCTGGCGTTGTTTCGGGTCAGCGGTGGAGATTTGTTAGTCCAATATGTCGGGCGTTATCTGGGTGTTTGCAAAGACGTCTACTAAAAGCACAGCGAACAGGAAAGTGATGGAAACATGTTCACACTGAATAATAAAACACTGATTTAGCTGCGTTTCGTTGGAGCTTCGGCCTGAAGTGTGTTCAGCTCGTGGACCTTAGATCTAACCCTAAGAAGAAAAACTCACTTTTAGAGTCGGACGAGTGACAGGAGGCGGGGGTACGTGAGAACACAAGGCAAGCGAGAGAGAGAGAGAGAGCAATAACTTACTGTTTTAGCTTTTTAGGTTGTGCGTGCATATAAATACTGGATGTATATGCGTTCAAGAGAGCAGGAGGAGGAGGAGGAAAAGGCCTTCAAATATTCATGAACTACATACAAATCGGTTGTTTTTCGATGCAGTCAAGTGCATTGTGTTTACCTCGCTGTGTGGATGCAATGTGAGACTAAAGGGAAGGAGGGGCTTCACACCCTGTGGATCAAAGAGTGTTTCCTTCAGGCTGATAAAAGCTCACACAACCTGAAGCCAGTGTGTGTGTGTGTGTGAGAGGAAACAAACGGCACCTCCATCCACGAGTCAGAGTCAGTGCTGTGTGCATGTGGACAAAATATGGCAATTTGAGGGCGTATTAGCTGCCCGTTTTCAAATGGATACACTTCTTGTAAAAAAAATATGCTCTTCTTTTTACTATTCAATGGCTGGGCGGTGTTCGGATACTTTGCATTTCATTCATTGCAAAACTAAACACACCTAAGGGGAAAAGGGAGGAGGGGGGCAACACTGATATTTGTCCTCCTTCATCAATGGCATTTGTACCGAGGTACTAAAGGGACATGGACAACTTCCTGTGACTGTCGGACTTCATTTGAAGGACATTTCGGCCTAGAGCTATTTGTTTAAGCGCTTGGACAATCGATATATCACTCATATTGCCACACATATCACAAATTACACTCGTCTAAGGGGCTTTAAAATGTGTTTACAGCACGAGGTATTAACACTCTCAGCATAAATCTGCAAAACAGATAGCGAGAGAGTCTGTAAACCAGTCTGCATCGATCTATGAATTCATGTCCGTGATTCTCTCAGTATCTGTGACTCGAGAAAAGAACTGGCTTTTTCTTTTGTCCATGTCCCTTTAGGGTCTGTCTGCAGCTCACAGAGTCCTGTGTTGAGAGCCCAAAGTGTTACGATAGACATGTATAGTAGGGTCTCCAGAACATAGAAACCGCCGGAGTTTTGTAAACTAGCATTGTGTTAATTAGCATTATAGCTTATGTGGACAATAGTTACAAAATGGCTTCTGGAACGTTTTGGAGTGTTTTGGGGGTTTAGGCCGCGACAGGGCATTTTGCTGTGATTATTGTATTTTTGTAACTGTGAATAAAGTCTTATCTTAAATGAGCTGCAAACAGACTTTCTGGGTCTCGGTACGTTCTCCTTCAGAACATGTGCTCTCCTATGTCTCGGGGTCTTCGGACTGGGCGGTGTTTTGGGAGGGGAACTCTTTAATGGTGACGGTGAGGAGGTTGGAGGTGACGTCAGTGACCACCACGTCTTTACAGCTGGGCGCCATCTCAGGGTGCCAGTTGGGGTTTCCCTCCGCTATTTGGGGTTCTGCAGGGGTCTCGTTGCCGGGGCTCTGGTCGTCGGGCAGCTGGCGTTTCCTGCCTTCATGAGAATCAGAATCAGTTTTATTGCTATGTTGACACATAAGAGGAATTTGCTTTGGTGTTAATGGTGTAAACAAAGACACAAAGATTCTGGTTTTTCTTTTAAAGAAAGGGGCAAAACATAGGACTATTATAAAAGCTATTTAAAAAAAATGTTTTGAAGACTGTTGTTACAAATAAAAAATAGACGATACAATATTGACAGTCAGAATTCTGATTTATTTCAGATATCTGGAAATCCTGACTTTTTTTCAGAAAATCTCAGAATTATGATTTTTTTGGTTTTGCTCAAAATTATGGCTTTTTTTCAGAAATCTTTAAATTATGACTTTTTTTCTCTGAATCACAAAAAGTATGAATTTTTTCTGAAAATCTCAGAATTCTAAGATTTTTTTTCTCAAAATTCAGAATTTTTTTCTCAACATACTGATTTTTCTAATAGTTTGCAGGATTCGCAGTATTAAAGAGATATTGTTGGTATAGTGTGAAATGGAGTAAGAATGTTATTGCCAAGTAGGTTAACACCATAGACTGTATATATAAAGGTTGACACCATAGGCTGTATATATAAAGGTTGACACCATAGACTGTATATATAAAGGTTAACACCATAGACTGTATATATAAAGGTTAACACCATAGGCTGTATATATAAAGGTTGACACATGAGGAATTTGCTTTGGTGCAAAAAGTGTTAACAAAGACACAGAAAGAAGAAAACGTTCTGGGTATTTTAAGAAAGGGGCAACAAATAGTATTATTATAAAAGCTATTTTTAAAACTATTTTAAGGACTGTTGTAACAATTAAAAAATACATAGAGAAAAATTCTGACTTTTTCAGAAAATCTCAGAATTCATTTTTTTTCTGAAAAGCTAAAAATTATTACCCGTTTCTAAAATTCGGACTTTTTAATCAAAATAATGATATTTTTCGAAAAATCTCAAAATTATGACTTTTTGCTGAAAATCTCAAAATTACAACTTTTTTCTCAAATCTCAGAATTATTACTTTTTTATTGTAAAGCAAGGAGCAGAAAAATGTCCTTTTTTAAAAGCCATTTTGAAACACTGTTTTAAAGACTGTTGCAACAATTGAAAAATAAAGACAATATTTATTCAGAATTCTGACTTTTTCTGAAAAATCTCAAAATTATTATCTGTTTCTAAAATTCTGACTTTTTAATCAAAATAATGATATTTTTCAGAAAATCTCAAAATGATGTATTTTTTCCTGAAAATCTCAAAATTCTAACTTTTTTTCTGAAAATGCAGGATTCACAGTATTAAAGAGATATTGTTGGTAAAGTGTGAAATGGGGTTGTTCAACCTTTCGGGGTCTCGTCCTCCTGGTCTTTCACTGAGGAAGACGATGAGGCTCCAACTTTAGAATCAGAAACACAAACAGGGTTATTTCCAAGAGAACATTTTCTTTGTGTATTTGGTGCAAACATAAACACGGTTATACTTATTTATTTAAATAGTTATCACCGCAATAAACCGTATTTAATGTTGTCTTAATGTACATTATTTAATTTCATATTCTATTTACATGTAAATGGACTTCTTGCACTATTTTGTATTTTTGTATGTTATTATACATGTTGCATCGTTGGAGGAGCTCAGGTCAGAAGAGCTTCAAAGCCATCTCTACACTGACGCTGCTGAGCATCTGATGAGACACCTTTGAATCTTTGAACTCAAAGTCAACTTTATTGTCAGTCTTTCAGTTTGTGTGTACAGACAGAGATCGAAATACCGTTTCCCACAATCCCTAATACAAAAATACAAATATATATAAAAATATGCATAAAAATATGTATATACCTATATATACACAATCAACCGACACATGTATACATATGCACACAATAAGACCTACATAACAGCACAACAATCAATATACAAAATAACAGCCACTTCAATATCTGTGAGAAATGTACATTAGTGATAAGGATGCCAGTGAGGATGCCAGTGAGGATGCCAATAAGGATGCCAATAAGGATGCCAGTAAGGATGCCAGTGAGGATGCCAGTGAGGATGCCAGTGAGGATGCCAATAAGGATGCCAGTAAGGATGCCAGTAAGGATGCCAGTAAGGATGCCAGTGAGGATGCCAGTGAGGATGCCAGTGAGGATGCCAGTGAGGATGCCAGTGAGGATGCCAGTGAGGATGCCAATAAGGATGCCAGTAAGGATGCCAGTGAGGATGCCAGTGAGGATGCCAGTAAGGACGCCAGTGAGGACGCCAGTAAGGATGCCAGTAAGGATGCCAGTGAGGATGCTAGTAAGGATGCTAGTAACTATGCACTAATGTACATTTCCCAAAGATATTGAAGTGACTTTGTATTGATTGAAGAAGCTAGAAAACAACCATAACATTTAAAGAACATTATTTACCGGGGTTACTGGACTTTGGAGCTTCGCTGGAAGGAGGGACAGAGACTCCTGTTGTGGATTTTCCTTCTGAACTTGAGGGGGAGGAGTTATGCTGGGAGGGGGAGGGGTTATACGGGGAGGGGGAGGAGTTATGCTGGGAGGGGGCGGAGTTATACTGGGCAGAGCTGAAGGTCACTGGTCCTCCACACTGGAGCCCAAATGGCTTCCCGTACATGGGGAAGCCCAGCATCTTCAGCGGGGAATGGAAGGGCCGGTAAGGACCCTCGGCTTTCTTCCCGATGATTCGGTTTCGGGACGGGATGTTCTGCCGACCCCCGACCGTGTGATTCCTTCCAGAAGCACCTCCTCGAACCGGCTTATCGATTACCTTCAGATGAGGAGGAGGACAAAGTATTACTAGAAGTACTCAGATCTTGAGTTAAAGTAGAAGTACTCAGATCCTGTACTTGAGTAAAAGTAGAAGTACCAGAGTGTAGGAATACTCTGTTACAGTAAAAGTCCTGCATTCAAAATGTTCCTCAAGTAAAAGTAGAAAAATATTATCATCAAAATGTAAGAGTAAGTGTTTCACATGATTAACCCAAATCTGTTAAGTAACTAAAGGTATTGAATACATGGAGTTTCTAACATAACACTTTGGGGTCTCAACAAGACTCTATGAGCTGCAAACAGACCAGAGATGGCAAAGGTTCACACATCCTTTACTCAAGTAGAAGTACAGATACTCTTGTTTAAACATACTCTGGTGAAAGTAGAAGTACTGACTAAACTTCTTGTGGCTCCAGCCTTAGAGAAGACCAGGAAATGATGGATACACGGATCGTGTTCAAATCAATAGGCACGCAATGACTCTAAATAATAATGATCACGCCACCAAACACACATTCAAACTAAAGGAACCAGCCTGTTTGGGAAATGTGAGAAGTAGAAAGTACAGGTATTTGGGTTCAACATGTAAGAAGTAGAAAGTACAGGTATTTGGGTTCAACATGTAAGAAGTAGAAAGTACAGGTATTTGTGTTCAACATGTAAGAAGTAGAAAGTACAGGTATTTGGGTTCAACATGTAAGAAGTAGAAAGTACAGGTATTTGGGTTCAACATGTAAGAAGTCAAAGTAAAAAGTCGTCAGAAAAATAAGTAGTGGAGTAAAGTACTGATACCAGAAACATGTACTTAAGTACAGTAACGAAGTATTTGTACTCCAATACTTCCCACCTCTGAAACAGACCATGATGTACTCAGTTCCTCTCCTCATGCACTGACCTTCAGGTTGAGGATGATGCGGCCTCTCTTCACCTCCCGCGGCTTCACTCTGCGGTTGAGGATCCGGACGGTTTCAGAGAACGGGGACACGTGGATCTTGGAGGTCTGACCGGGGAAGGACCCGGCCGAGGGGTCGGGGCGCGGCAGCGGGCGGCGCGACATCCGGTGGCAGCGGTGGATGTCCTTCTTCAGCTTGTGGGTGGTGGCCAGGGAGCTGAGCTTGGGAGAAGGAGCCACGGAGGAGGAGGGTGGATGAGGTGAGGAAGAGGAGGAGGAGGAAGGATTCGCTCGACCCGGTGTAGAGCGAGCTGCAGGCGGGCGGGAGTTTGAGGCTCGGCTTCCTCCGGTCTGAGCGTTAGCCTGAGGGAATATGAACTTATGTCAAACACAGAAAAAACTGTTTTATCCCACGGGCCATTTTCTTTTATTGTACAATGCCATGTCTTTTGATGCTGCTGCAACACAAACATTTCCCCAATTGGGATCAATAAGTACTTCTGATCTTATCAGACTGTTAACTCCTGAGCTCCGAAGTGCCTCGATAACCTTCATCTGTTTGCATTTCACATATTTATTTATCACTAGTCTGTGTTATTCATGTTTTATTATCTTTGCTTTTGTGTGTTTCCGGTCTGAGCGTCAGCCTGAGGGACAGGCAGTGGAGGAAATAACTATTTGATCCCTTGCCGATTTTGCAAGTTTACCCACTTACGAAGAAATGAACAGTCTATCATTTTAATGGTAGGTTTATTTAACGAATGAGAGACAGAATATCAAAAAGAAAATGTGAGCGTTAGCCTGAGGGATAGACAGATAGAATCAGAGGATGAAACCCTCTTTAGCCAGTCGATGTTCATTATCACCGGCCCCCCCACTGTAACCACTGGCCCCACTGTAACCACTGGCCCCACTGTAACCACTGGCCCCACTGTAACCACTGGCCCCACTGTAACCACTGGCCCCACTGTAACCACTGGCCCCACGGTAACCACCGGCCCCACTGTAACCACCGGCCCCACTGTAACCACCGGCCCCACTGTAACCACTGGCCCCACTGTAATCCCCACTGTAACCACCGGCCCCACTGTAACCCCCACTGTAACCACCGGCCCCACTGTAACCACCGGCCCCACTGTAACCACCGGCCCCACTGTAACCACCGGCCCCACTGTAACCCCCACTGTAACCACCGGCCCCACTGTAACCACCGGCCCCACTGTAACCCCCACTGTAACCACCGGCCCCACTGTAACCCCCACTGTAACCACCGGCCCCACTGTAACCACCGGCCCCACTGTAACCACTGGCCCCACTGTAACCACTGGCCCCACTGTAACCCCCACTGTAACCACCGGCCCCACTGTAACCACTGGCCCACTGTAACCCCCACTGTAACCACCGGCCCCACTGTAACCACCGGCCCCACTGTAACCCCCACTGTAACCACCGGCCCCACTGTAACCACCGGCCCCACTGTAACCCCCACTGTACCACCGGCCCCACTGTAACCCCCACTGTAACCACCGGCCCCACTGTAACCACCGGCCCCACTGTAACCACCGGCCCCACTGTAACCACTGGCCCCACTGTAACCCCCACTGTAACCACTGGCCCCACTGTAACCCCCCACTGTAACCACCGGCCCCACTGTAACCACCGGCCCCACTGTAACCACTGGCCCCACTGTAACCCCCACTGTAACCACTGGCCCCACTGTAACCACTGGCCCCACTGTAACCACTGTAACCACTGGCCCCACTGTAACCCCCACTGTAACCACCGGCCCCACTGTAACCCCCACTGTGACCCCCACTGTAACCACCGGCCCCACTGTAACCACTGTAACCACTGTGACCCCCACTGTAACCACCGGCCCCACTGTAACCACTGTAACCACTGGCCCCACTGTAACCACCGGCCCCACTGTAACCACCGGCCCCTCAATTGTTCATATTTGGTTTATTAAAATAATTATATTGTAGTCATTAGCCGCGTTCACACCTAGTACTTTGCCGTACTCAGTGCCGGCACTCAGAGCCCCGGCACTTATTACCCCAGGGCACTAAGTACAGATCGCGTTCACACCGGAGTACTTTTCCCTGAGGGAAGATTACGCAAATGAGCCGCTGACGTCACTTCATCTTCTTCTGCTTTGGGTTTACTGGCAGGCAGCAAACAACTTCACGGCGTATACTGCCACCCGGAGTCCCCGGCCGGAAGTCCCCGGAGTTGGGGAAGGCTTCAGTAGAAGCTGCTGGGACTCCCAGCAGCTTCTACTGAAGCCTTCAGAGTAAATCGCCAGAACGCCGACACCTCCTCATCTCCACCGCTCCCATGTTTTCTTTTGTGTTGCCATAAGTTAGTCTCTCTGCGTTTGTGCGCTGGGCTAATGCTAATGCTAATAATGCTAATGCGAGGATAATAAAATGGCGGCTCTACAAAACATTTCAGAGTTGTACGGGGCGTGGTTTGCAATTCGCCCAGCCAATCAGAACTGGGGCACTTTTTCCCCCAGGAAAGTACCATCTCTCAGCAGGCACTACAAATGGGGGTAAAAGTTCCCGGCACTAAGTACTCTTTTTGGTGTGAACGCGACATAAGGGGTACTAACGGAACTAAACGCGAAAAGTACGGGGAAAAGTACTCCGGTGTGAACGCGGCTAATGTTAAAAAAAAAAATTCTGCTATTATCATTATTATGAGTATTATTATTATTTGCATAATGCGCTTTCTGCCTTCCTGTCATCAGGAGTTAGACATGTAATGGCTATGTAATAGATTAGATTAGAACCTTCATTCTCCTGCTGGGACATTTCCCTGAAGCCAATACCTTTATTTGTTCTACTCTTCACTTTCTTGTCAGCATAGGTCGGCATTGATGTACAGAGCCGACAGAAGACCTTGTTTATATCATCATATTGAAGCCAACTCCATCGATCAAGCCAGTGTGGTTGAAACTTCCTCTCCCTCTTCTTCTCATACTCCCTGTCACTCTCCTTTATCTCCTCCGCTGACTTTCTTTTATTTGAAGATTGTTTTTAGCCCGGCACTTGGCCGGTTACCGCTGGTATTGAAAACATTTTGGCGAATGGCTAGGTGGCGAGAAAGTCTGTAGTGAACAGACTTCACTACAGACTTTCTCGGCCCTGCGCTCCGCAGCAAACAGCTGTTAGCTTTTCATCCAACAACAACAACCGCCTCACGAAACGCTATGTTGTAGCGTTAATGAACGAAACAATTGAACAAAATTGCTAGTCAAAATACCAACACCACAGGACCATTTTCTTTTTTAAAGCAACTTTTTGAGTGTCCCGAGCGGGCAAGTGGAAAGTAGGTTATGCTGGCCCGGGGGGTCTAAACAGTGCTTCCGGGCCAGCGGGCCATTTATAATGTGGAGCCCTGCATTATTCTCTTGCACTATTGTATTTCTATTCTGTTTCTTTTTGCACTATTTTATTATGCAAGCTAATTTGTAAATAGAATTATCCAAATAAAGATAATTCAAGTGGTGCTTCCTCCAGTCTGAGCACTGAAGACACATCTCTAAAAAGTACCCAGAACATGAGAACATATTTAAAAAGCACCAGTACAAACTGGAGCAATGCACAAAGTTATTAAATAAATAAACAAACAAGCATTGCTTCCACTGTGTGATGCTGGTTAAAAACACAACTCATGTTATATATGTGCACGCTGAATTGTAAATAAAATGACCCAAAGTCACTTCGGGTGGTGCTGTTGTATTAATGAGATATCTTTCATGCATGAACGTTAAATAAAGCTGGAGAAAAACTGAACCTTCATGGACTGTTTTTTGGGTTTTGGTCCTCGTTTCTTCGGCCCGAGGATCTCCCTCTCCCGTTCCCTGTGAAGAAACAGGTCAATACAAAAAGGTACAATGAGAGGTAATAAAACAGATCAAAAGAGAAGATGTGAGGTGCAGTCAGGTTCTCCGTCACGTGACCACTTTAGTTTGATGAGTTCTCTCTGTTTTAAACCACAGTGAGCAGCACAAGGCTTTTCAAGTGTCTTTATAACAGACATGAAAGACTTGCCGTGTTCATTTTGGCAGGTTATTAGTTTTAGTCACATTTCAGTCCTTTTTATCCTTCATAGTTTTAGTCTATGAAAAATCATTACATTTTAGTCAAAACCAATTCAGTTCGGCAAACTCTAACCCGTAACCCGATCACAACAGAGGCCTATCACAGGGCCTATCACAGGATGCAGCTATTCAATACTCATTCTGCTTTAAGAATATGAGCATGTCTACTCAGGGGAGAGGCGGGTGCGGAGGGGATTCACAATCAGGCCAGCTGTAGAGAAGACCCTCTCAGCTGGAATGTGGGCATCAGATGAGGTTTGAGTCTGCGTGGTCTGCGTGTAGGGAGGGGCTGCAGCCATAGCATTAGCTAGAACTAGATCTGATGGATTTGGACATGAACGCGAGTGAAGTATAACCGGACACGAGAGAGAGAGAGATCAGCACCTGCAGCTCTGCCCGCTGTGAGGGACCGCTGAGCGGAGCAACACACACCTTTAGACCTAACACACTGAGCTATGGCTCTGTCGTATACATTGAATTATTACATTTGATCATATGTAATCAACTTAGGCACCCCTCCCAAAAACATATTTGAATACCTGAATAATTTTGAATATTCGAATATTCGATTAATCGTTCCCATCCCATATGTATACATGTGTCTGTTGATTATGTATATACATATTTTTATACATATTTGTAATTTGTATTCCTCTGGATTGTGGGAAACGGTATTTCGATCTCTCTGTCTGTACACACAAACTGAAAGATTTGATTTTGAGATTGAATTAAGGCAATTCATTCCCATTTAAGTCTTTGCTTTAGTGCAGTTTAATACTTTTTAGGATACCCAAGAACCCCTTAATGACGACCCCTCACTCTGTGCAGAACGAGACTTATAAACACGATAAATAAACTCGTATTAAAACATAAAGCCGCTTTACTCACTTTCGCTCGAAGCCCAGTATCAGCCTGTCATCCAGAATGTTCTCCTCTGGCTCCCAGGTGCTGTGCCTGAGGAAACAAGGAGGAAGCAACATGAAGAAAACAACAGGAAGCATTTCATCCATATGTTGAGTTTAGTGTGCATCAGAAAGAAAAGAGTGAGGAGCTGCTCTTACTTCATCGCCCATCCTTTCCATTTCACAAGGTACTCAAGTCTCGCCTGCAAGACAACACAGATGTTTACAGGATTCACATGGTACATGACAACAAGAGACTCTACTTTAAAGGGGACCTATCATGCAAAATGCACTTGTGTACGTCTTTTCTACATGAATATGTGTCTCCGGTGTTCCAGGGAACTCACCAAGTGTCAGAAAACACAACCCTCTCTATTTTCCTCCATACCCAAATCTCTAAAAAAGGGGCTGCAACGGATCTGATAAAAACTGATCCAGATTTGAACACTGTCCTGACGTCAGGACGGTGGCGCTACGGCTATTGGGCCAACTCCACCAATCAGGAGGAGACAGCCACGGCCATTGCCGTTCGAAAGTGCTGGAGACGCTGTAGTACATATGCCAGGCCAGTAGATGGTGCTGTTCTCACTGAATCAACCCTTGCTAAAACAGGGGTAAAAAAGTGCAAATTGAGCAAAATGAGGCATGGCTAAAATGCATGATCTGTTTGGTATTTTGAAAAAAAAAAAGTATAAATATGCCAGGCCTGTAAGTGGAGCTGTAGTCTGCCACAAAAACAGTGAAGAAGACTTGGTTACCATGGTTATCCTTCTGTTTATTCTCCGCTGTGGCTTTCTTTCTCTCTCCCCGAGGCAAGCGTTTGCTCCCGCTGCTTTAATTCAATGCAATCCCTCCCCGTCGAGGCAAGCACCATAATTCTCTCCGGTTAGTCCACCAGCAGATGACAAACACCCACCTCTCCGCCTCTTCCAAGGAACGAGGGGACCGTGCGGCAGAGTTTCAGTTTCAGTTTCTTTCGCCGGTCAAGATGTCCGTTAAAGTTTAAATCTTCCAGACAAAATTAGAAAAGTGCCGGTCAAAGGTCTTCTTTGTGATTTATTGAGCTTTAAAACAAATGAATAACGACTCTATATAATAAAACACGGAGGACGGAGATCTCTTTTTCTCCCCCTCTTCTGACAGCCCAGCAGCTGATCAGAGCACGTCTCCCCTCTCCTGCAGGGGGGCGTGGTCAGCAGAATCAGACCCGTAGACAGCAAACAGCACATAGAGCGAAATGAGGCATGGCTAAAATGCATGATCTGTTTGGTATTTTGAAAACAGAAACGTATAAATATACCTTATATAGGTATGGCCCTACAATATATCATTTAAATATAGCATGATAGGTCCACTTTAAAGAGTCCTCTCCTGCTGATGTTCAGGTGTATATCAGTATGTACTGTCTCTACTTTAAAGAGTCTTCTCCTGCTGATGTTCAGGTGTATATCAGTATGTAGTGTCTCTACTTTAAAGAGTCCTCTCCTGCTGATGTTCAGGTGTATATCAGTATGTAGTGTCTCTACTTTAAAGAGTCCTCTCCTGCTGATGTTCAGGTGTATATCAGTATGTAGTGTCTCTACTTTAAAGAGTCCTCTCCTGCTGATGTTCAGGTGTATATCAGTATGTAGTGTCTCTACTTTAAAGAGTCCTCTCCTGCTGATGTTCAGGTGTATATCAGTATGTAGTGTCTCTACTTTAAAGAGTCCTCTCCTGCTGATGTTCAGGTGTATATCAGTATGTAGTGTCTCTACTTTAAAGAGTCCTCTCCTGCTGATGTTCAGGTGTATATCAGTATGTAGTGTCTCTACTTTAAAGAGTCCTCTCCTGCTGATGTTCAGGTGTATATCAGTATGTAGTGTCTCTACTTTAAAGAGTCCTCTCCTGCTGATGTTCAGGTGTATATCAGTATGTAGTGTCTCTACTTTAAAGAGTCCTCTCCTGCTGATGTTCAGGTGTATATCAGTATGTAGTGTCTCTACTTTAAAGAGTCCTCTCCTGCTGATGTTCAGGTGTATATCAGTATATAGTGTCTCTACTTTAAAGAGTCCTCTCCTGCTGATGTTCAGGTGTATATCAGTATGTAATGTCTCTACTTTAAATTTTACTCATACTGTCTGTGCTGCAGCACCTCTTTTCACCCTCTGTCTGAAACCAGAGCCCAGTCTGCTCTGATTGGTTAGCTGGCCGGCTCTGCTGTGATTGGTCAACCGCTTAGAGATCTCCCGCCCCTTTAGTCTATCACGTTCAATGTGTTGGAGCACTAGCCAATAGGAGCGTGAGTTTTACATAGTGATGTCACTATGTTCCACGAGTAAACAAAGGAACGTAACTTGAATATATTTCATATAAATGACATGTATTCTGTTCATTTGACTTTACTACCATTGGATTGTATTTTAGGAATATGTGTGTTTGTGACTTACAGCATTGAAAGTCTAAAGTTTATTTTCAGGTTAAAAATGTGAAGATGCACTGAAGGTTATTATCTGCACAACTGATGTTACTATAATTAACAGCACAATATTAAGAAAACACCTCATTATATATACATTCATCTACATTTGTTCAACTGTTTAAGATACGAAGGAACCCTGATGAATCCCAGCAACATTTGAGCGACTGACTCGATCACAGATATCCATAATTAAACTCTCCACCATGTTACAACATGTCAGATTTCCTCCATTGCAGCGAGTGTGTGAACCTCAGTGATGTTATTCCATCTTTTATGCTGGATAACAAAAGGAGGGGTTCATCTGAAGGTCCAGCAGGAAGCTCAGGAGGCCTGCTGGTTGACTACCGGACACTTAAAGTGGAACACGCCATGATTTATAGGCTCTTTCTTTCCAGAATGCAAACCATGCAGCGTGCAGTTCTCAAATCGAGGCAGGAGGCTTTCCTGTTTGCGGCTGCCTTTTGTTCCGTCTCAGCATTAAACCTGTATATCACACCTGTCTTCTTCTATTGTTTTTCTGTTCCCATGGCTCTTTAATGACTGTTTTAATTATATGTAATTGTCCTTTTCCAATGGGTTTCTTTGCACTTTAAGGCTCTTGAAGTTGTAAACCACTTAGAGTTGCCATGCCATACTAAACTGTTAAAACACATGCAGTTTTTTCCAGAAATGTGGAGAATAAAAACTGCATGCGTTTTAACAGTTAGGTAATTTTGGAGAAACCAGCTCGAGTGCGCTAGAATTTGAAAATACACAGCCGGAACAAACCTGCCACTTCCTTATAGAGCCCCTCCTCCAACACACACGAACGCGCACATGACCAATGAGGGCACAAGATAAGTGTGTGTACTTCGCCGTAGTACTGTAAAAAGCACGACCAATCATCTGAGCCGGCCCGGCTAAAATAACTGGATGGCCTACCTGCCTGTCAGCCTTCCACCTGTGCACAAACTTATCTCGTGCCCTCATTGGTCATGTGCGCGTTCGTGTGCGTTGGAGGAGGGGCTCTGGAAGGAAGTGGCAGATTTTCTCCGGCTGTGTATTTTCTAATTTTAGCGCACTCGAGCTGGTTTCTCAAACTTACCTACCCCACCTTTAAGTAGTTAAAACACCTCTTTGAAATCAATGCTGAAAGCGTATTAAATCAGTCCGTTACCAACGTCTTATCATAGCAGCTCTGTGTCTTACCATCTTGTTTTTACTTATATTTCCATGGCTCTTTAATGACTGTTTTAATTGTATGTAATTGTGTTTTTCGTATTGGTTTCTTTGCACTTTAAGGTTCTTGAAGTTGTAAACCACTTAGAGTTGACATGCCATACTAAACTGTTAGACATCCGACTGTGGCTGTGAGGGAGTGCGGTCGCCTTTCAACCAGAAGATTGTGGGTTCGATCCCAGCAGTCAACATGTCGAGGTATCCTTGGGCAAGATACTGAACCCTGAGTTGCTCCCGATGGCCAACGGTGTGTGAATGTTAGTTCCTAGAGTAAGGTACACTGCTCTGTGTGAATGTTAGTTCCTAGAGTAAGGTACACTGCTCTGTGTGAATGTTAGTTCCTAGAGTAAGGTACACTGCTCTGTGTGAATGGTAGTTCCTAGAGTAAGCTACACTGCTCTGTGTGAATGTTAGTTCCTAGAGTAAGGTACACTGCTCTGTGTGAATGTTAGTTCCTAGAGTAAGGTACACTGCTCTGTGTGAATGTTAGTTCCTAGAGTAAGGTACACTGCTCTGTGTGAATGTTAGTTCCTAGAGTAAGGTACACTGCTCTGTGTGAATGTTAGTTCCTAGAGTAAGGTACACTGCTCTGTGTGAATGTTAGTTCCTAGAGTAAGGTACACTGCTCTGTGTGAATGTTAGTTCCTAGAGTAAGGTACACTGCTCTGTGTGAATGTTAGTTCCTAGAGTAAGGTACACTGCTCTGTGTGAATGGTAGTTCCTAGAGTAAGGTACACTGCTCTGTGTGAATGGTAGTTCCTAGAGTAAGGTACACTGCTCTGTGTGAATGTTAGGTCCTAGAGTAAGGTACACTGCTCTGTGTGAATGTTAGGTCCTAGAGTAAGGTACACTGCTCTGTGTGAATGGGTGAATGACATGTAGTATGTAAAGCGCTTTGAGGGGTCTTAAAGCCTGGATAAAGCGCTATATAAGTACAGTCCATTTACCATTTAAAACACATGCAGTTTTTATTCTCCACATTTTGTCTGGTCTGCTGCAAAACTCACTTATTTTAATTCAATTAAATCAAATAACAGTAAAGTCTTACCACAGCAACTTTGAAGGTTTTATTCATCTTTAGCTTGTTATCCTGGCATTAATGGAATACTACAAGATTATATAAATTTCCATTCATGGCCCCTGTATTCTGCATCCCTATATGCGACTGAAATGTATTTATTAAACATTTGAAAGGAAGTTAGGCATCGTATGTTTGGTGGTAAATACATATAAAGTGCCTCAAACTGTGGAACTAATACCTGTTGAAGATATGTTTTGATATATTCATTTAAATATGAGTTTGTTTTTGTTATGTTCATATTTCTTTTAGTAGCAGGTCGGTCTAATTCAAGGACCGTGCATACAAATGCATTCATCTCAGAAAAGAGAAGAGATTATAGCTAACAACTCATTTCCATCTGCAGTCCTCAGGCAGGTACATAACAATCAATACAACCTACAAACATTGCATACTCTCTATCACACAAACAATTATA